GGTGCAACGCTCCCCTCGAGTCGTTGAAGCTGAAATCCCGGCTCACTCGCCTAAGTAGCCTCGGCCTTGAGATCGGTGGGGTTTATCCCTCGCTAAAGCTCAGTCGTGTGTAGGACACCTGTTCCACTAGCGGGCAACGCTCGGTCGCCTACGGCTACCATCAGCGAAGATTCGCACGGTTCTGACAACTGTGTTAGAACTGGGCAAGGGTGTTATATCCGTACATACTCGATCCCAAACCGACTCCCGGACCTCCTTCTTCACCACCTCCAGAGTCCTACCCTACCACTGTTTGTTCCGATATTCACCTTCGGTCCTGACACCACACCTCCTCTCACCCCTCATGCCACCTCCACTCCTCCGTCCTTCTCCTATCCTATCTCCATCCGCTCTGATACTCGCCTCGGACCGAACACCACTCCTCTCCCACTCCTCCTCTTCCTCCTCACAACACCTCCACCCTTCCATCATTCTCCTACCCTTCGCCCATCCGCTCTGATACTCATCTTCGGACCTGACACCTTTCCTCTCCTCCACTCCTTTCCCCTTTCCTCTTCCCTCTGGCCCTCTTCCGCCAACCTTCTGCCAAGTTACGACCTTCCACCGCTGTCCTGTACCTTGTACTTGGACACCACTTGTACCTTTGCTCCAAGACTCCATCATAGTTCCTACCTCGGACTTTGACTCCGCCTCGGCTTTAGTCCATTGCATTGGTGACCTCATACTACGTAAACACCATTGCCAATATTCCTCGGACTTTCAACCCCACCTCCATAACCTCCGTAAGCTCCGCAACCTCTGAGCTCCATGGATCATCTTCAGCACTTTCGCCACTTGTAATGTATCTTTTGCGTTTCCCCCTCATCCCTATTTGGACTGCTGCTTCTTCCCATTCTAGCCAGTTAGTCATCATCCCCACTTCCCCTCATCCTCCTGCCCCTCTGGGCTTCACCCTCCTTACCTCCTCTCGGATGTACCACAGGTTCTGCCCTATGACCTTCAGTACCGCTCCACTTCTGTCATCCCTTTGTTCCCGTTTGGACACCTTCGTTCTGATTTGGACCCCCTTTGTTTCCTTGTGCCTTCGCCCTCTCCATTATATATATCAGCACTTTGTTAGAACCGGGCAGATTCGGACGACTCCGGAGTGGAATTGGAGACTTAGTGTGGAAGGACCTTGGCCTCAGCGACTCAGGCGGAGCGCTGTGCCATTGCTGGTTGTCCTAGGGGTCCCTAATTTTGGATCTAGCAGAGGGAAAGTCTCTTGTGGGGAATTCAGGTCAATTTTGGACTGAGGTTACAAGTTACTATGTACATTGTATATAAGGAGGGGTCCGGAATCAAAAAGAGCGAGGGTACTCCGAAAGGAGACAAAGGGAGCTGGAAAGAGGAACACCGAGGGTCAAGGGTTTGACTCAATGGTGTTTCCCAAAGGAGGAGTGAAGGGCCAAGGCCCAAGGAGGAAGGAAGGAGGATGGGAGTGGGGAATGGCTGACTGACTGAATAGAAAGGAAGCAACAGCCCAAATAGGAATGAGGGAGAATAGCGGAATTGAATGGAGCAATGCAATAGTTGCAAGGTCCAAAGTAAGTCCGGAAAGTCCGAACTCAGAAGTTAAACTCCAGAATATTGGCAAAGGCAATTAAATGGAATGAGCTAACCAATACAATGGGTATAAGCAGAGGTGGAGTCAAAGTCTGAGGTTGGAGCTAAGACTGGAGGTTCCGGAGACAGAGATGCAAACGGGATTCCGGAGTGGAGGTCCGGAGTTGGGAGCATAGGTGTTGCATACTCATCTGGAAGATGTTGAGGTTGGGGTTGGACCCGGAATGTTCCAGAGTTGGACCGAAGGTGGTGTCAGAGCCGGAGGTGGGATAACCTCTTGGAAGTTGGCAAGGAGAAGGTGATGGAAGGGAAGTAGGACTCCGGAAGTCAGGTTTGGAGTTCCGGAGCCTGGAGCAGAGGTCAGGATTGTATGGATATGACAAAGGGGGTCGGAATTGGAACAAAGGCATCCGAATGGAGACAAGGGGATGATGGAAGCAGAGCGGTACTAAAGGTCATGGGTTAGACTCTGTGGTACATCCAAAAGGAGGTAGGGAGGGCGAATGTTAGAACCGGGCGGGAACAGACGACTCCAGAGTGGAATCGGAGACTTAGTGTGGAGGGACCTTGGCCTCAGCGACTCAAGCGGAGCGCTGTGCCATTGCTGTTTGTCCATTTGGTCCTTAATTTCACAGTAGGTGAGCAGGAAGTCTCTAGGGGGCATTTCAGGTCGATTTTGGACTGAACCAAAATGAGTATGTACAAGCGCCGATATATATAATGGAGGGGGCAAAAGCACAAGGAAACAAAGGGGAACCAAATCGGAACGAAGACGTCCGAACGGGAACAAAGGGTAGAAGAAGCGGAACAGTACCGAAGGTCATAAGGCAGGACCTGTGATACGTCCGAAAGGAGGTAGGGAGGGCAAGGCCCAGAGGGGCAGGAGGATGAGGAGAAGTGGGGATGATGACTAACTGGCTAGAATGGAAGGAAGCAGTAGTCCAAATAGGGATGAGGGGTAAACGCGAGAAATACATTACAGGCGGCGAAAGTGCCGAAGGCGATCTGCGAAGCTCGGAGGTTGCAGAGCTTACAGAGGTTACAGAGGCGGGGTTGAAAGTCGAGGGATATTGGCAATGGTGTTTACGTAGTATAAGGTCACCAATGCAATGGACTAAGACTGAGGTGGAGTCAAAGTCCGAGGTTGGGACTATGATGGAGGCTTGGAGCGAAGGTACGAGCGGTGTCTGAGTAGGAAGTACGGGAAGCGGCAGAAGGTCGTAACTTGGTGGAAGGGTGGCGGAGGAGTACCAGAGGGAGGAGAGAGGGGAAAGGTAAGGGAGACGGAGTGGCGGAAAGGAGAGTAGTCAGGTCCAAAGGTGAGTATCGGAGCGGACAGGGGAAGTGTAGGAGGGTGAAGAAGTAGTAGGAGGGTGGCGAGAGGGGCGGTGTTCGGTCTGAGGTGAGTATCGGAACGGACGGAGATAGGGTCGGAGAGGTAAGGAGGAGTAGAGGTGGCGTGGGGGGTAAAAGGAGGTGTGTTGCCAGGACCAAAGGTGAGTATCGGAACGGCAGTGGTAGGTTATGACTCCGGAGGTGAAGAGGGTGGAGGTCCGGAAGTTGGGTCGGGGTCCGGTATGCACGGATATGACAGCGAAGCCCAGAGGGGCAGGAGGATGAGGTGAAGTGGGGTTGATGACTACATAACTGGCTAAAATGGAAGGAAGCAGTAGTCCAAATAGGGATGAGGGGAAAGTGCAAAGGATACAGTACAAGCAGTGAGAGTGCTGAGGGCATTCTGAGGTAGCGGAGCTTACAGAGGTTATGGAGTCCAAGTTGGAAGTCTGAGAAATATTGGCAATGGAGTTTACATGAAGTGAGGTCACCAATACAATGGACTTAAGCTGAGGTGGAGTCAAAGTCTGAGGTCGGAACCATGACAAGATCTCAGAGCAAAGGTATGAGTGGTGTCCAAGTACAGGGTACAGGACTGTGGTGGAAGGTCATAACTTTGGTGGAGGTTGGCAGAAGAGGGGCGGAGGAGAGGAGTAAGAGGAGTGATGTCAGGTCCGAAGGTGGATATCAGAGTGGATGGGGATAAGGTGGGAGAGGGACGGAAGGTGAGGAGAGGAGTGGCATCATGTCCAAAGGCAGGTATCAGAGCGGATGGGGGTAAGGTAGGACTCTGGAGGTGGTGGAGAGGGTCCGGAAGTTGGATTGGGATCAGGTATGTATGGATATGACACACTGCATGCTTTGTGCGCCACATGATCTGGCCCCAGATCCTGCCCTCATGTGACTTCCAGGTATCCCCAGAAGTTTTCGCCATATTGGGGCCACTGTGGGAAAGTGAGAAGTTAACCTTCTTCTCACTTTCCTACCCACAGTATAGTTATGCCCTGAGATGGGCTGTGTTTACAGGTTAGGCTGTGGGCCATAGAGAGGGGTCATGGGGACCCGGGGTTCATCCCCTGACACACCACTCCCTTCAACATTACTATACCCTGTCCCAGTTCCCTCCACTGTTCCACTCCACTTCCACTTCCACTGCCCCTGCTCTGGACTAGTCCTTGACACTGGCACCCTTTGCCATCTCCACCCCAGATGCTTGGACCTGAGCCAGAACCTTCTATCCATTTCATTTATTGGAGTCACCCAATATTCCTTGGATGTGTAACTCCAGTTTCAGAGCTATGTATCTGCATCCCCAGCGACTCTACCCTTCACTTCTTGATTAGTCATCTTCTGTTTCTCTCATGACTGATGTCTTCTTTCAATTCAGTTGGCTAACCTTGGTTACCCATTTCTTGTTCCCATTCATTCCTTGGCCTTCTTCTCTGCCCTCCTTGACCTGACACCTGGGTTCCCTGTTCAGGTTATCCCTTGGCACCTTTCAGAACCTTTCAGTACCTTTTGGACTTTGTGTAAAGTCCTCTATATATACCTGTAGTTCAGAAACCATTGTACCTTAGTGTTAGACGCTGGTCCAGGGTTGGCACCAAAGATCACCATTGCAGGCCACTATAGGCTGCGATGGCCATGATGCTGTGAACAAGGCCCGAGGGTAGGGCATTTGGCCTCAGCGACTTTAAAGGAGCACTGTGCCCCCTAGCTGTCTCTTGGCCCTCATTTCAGACTCACTGGGGTTGCCTTGCTGGGGTCAGGACTTGGGGGTCATGGTCAAATCGATATTAGAGCTAAAGTACTATAATGTATCATACAGGATATATATAGGAAGAGGAAATAGGCTTCTTCTCACTTTCACACTTCAGACTAAGTGGTTGGGGACACTCACCCCACAACAGGACCACCACTATGCACAGCCATTTCTCGTCCCACCAAGTCCCCAGCACCAGGACTTTGCTGCTTTCAGAGCTGTCCCTGACAAGATGTTACACATAGAGACTAACATTACATGCAGACAAAGAATTTGAGGAGTTGTACATTGACGGTACCTATTCATCACCATGTGTAGTGCTGTTGCCTCCATGACTTCCACGACCTCTGTGACTGCTGCTACCCCAGGCTCCACCTCTCTGGCCTCTCCTTCCACGACTAACTTCTCGAGAACTGTCATTCCCAGAAGTGTCACCTGTGTGGGCCCGGCCTCTGCACCCATACCTTGTCTCCCTCCCCTCATCCAGGCTGACTGGGGTAGCCACCACTTCAGTCTGTACATCTGGTTCTGGACCTTCTGCAAAATTGTCAGTACCAAAATATATAAGGGAAAATTGGCTGAACACACGAGGCATTTCAGAGGAAACATTAACATTGAGTGACACTGGATCTGCTTCCTATGGTAAATTTTTAGTACTCACACAGTGTGGAACTCTAGCCTGCATCAATTCCTGCAAATCTGATGGAAGACTCACATTACTGCCACTAAGCTCCATTTCTTCAAGAAGAGCACTCAGGCCCAAAGAAAGACTTCCAGCTCGTCCTGATGCATGTGCATCTCCTGCTCCTGCAGGAGGACCAAACAACAAATGCTTGTACCAATCCATGGTCTTATGCATTGGTTGGACTGTGGTCGTTTTCTCTCGGTGAAGTAGGGTAAGGATAAAATGGTAGAAGTTGAGAAGGATATCAACATAGTTGGTGGCACTGGGCTTGCCAGAACCAGAAACCATCTCAGTGTCACCAGACAAAATGAAATAAACCTGTTGTTTAGATATAATTGGTCAGCACAAGATTCTCAAGCAGAATTCTACTTATGGCATACCAGCATTGAAACAATGGCCAAAGTGCCAGGGGTTATTTCAGTTACCTCATACATGCTCCCTAGTGCCCTTTGTGATGCATATAATTTTGCAGGCTCCCAATTCTCAAGCTCAGGGGATCCTGGAAAGGGGATGGAAGAAACAGGGCCATTGAGTGCAGAAGGACCAAAAATAATGACAATTATCCCCTTGTTGTAGCACTGTGAGTAGAATAATATGTATAACCCACAAGTGAAATACTTACAGCTGCAAGGACCTGTGAGCGAAACACATGTTGATGATGAGATTGGTCATTGTCTGGGAACAAGAACAAAGGCAAGTGGTCGAAGGGGTTGGTAGAATCAGGGATTACTCCCAAATATTCTTGAAGTTGTTCCACAGTTGGGCCATGACCCAACTTCAGCACTGGTATGCTTAGGTCCATGCCAAACAGTTGAAAACTTGATTGCCGCAAGCGGCTCATCATTTGCCACCTTCGTGCCCCAACAGCTGAAACAAACTAGTTGTACCAGACATGCCTAATTAGTGAAAGCCACAAGGAGAATCACTAGCACATGAGTACATACCTTTGCTGACCAAGGCATAGCTCCAGAATGAGTGCGGAGCTCATTTGTTAAGATAGGATATTTCATTGTGAGATTTTGTGGACACAGAATTGATTGAAATTTTCAACAGATGAAAACATTTATGTTGGTGCCCATGAGTGGAAATCACTGCTGAGTTCCACCAGAAGGGAAGCTTTCGATAAAAAAGGAGAATGGAAAATGGCATAAAGGGCTGCATATTTTGTGATCAAAGTCTCAATGCTTTTGACAGTAGAGGCATCACCAGGGGTAGGGTCATCACTATCAGTGCCATTGTTGTTGGTGTCTCCAGCAACTTCGCTGTCATCAGCTTCACCATGCACATCAGTGTTGATGGGCAGATCAGACACAGTAGGTGGTTGCACTGGTGTAGAACTAGATGGTGCCTGGAAGCCACGGGATCGGAAGGCAGTAGAGCTTGGTGAGGCAGACATAGCAGTAGTACTTGTGCTAATGAACCTAGTTGTGATTAAGGCTGGGGGAAAGGAACATCCCCAGCAAGTCTCAGCTATATACATGAAGAGCACGGTATTTAGGAAACCAAACAATACACCGATAGGATCACATGATCATAGAATATGCAAGAATATCACAGGGCACGGGTAATCGGCATGTATGAATATAACCGGTAATATTCCCACGCGCGTACACACAATCGGTCCATCAGCACAGTATCAGATTGTACAACAGTGCTGTGGTTGTTTTATGGGTGGATAGATAGCCAAAATTAGATTGCTCACATCTAATACTACCGTACATTGAGTAAAATAGTAATATGTGGTACAGCGCCGATGGACGCGGCAACGGGAAACGGAATGTGCGACAAACGGCACTGAAGATGCCCCACCCAACCTAAACGTCGCACAAGCCCAATCAACTTGATGGAAGCGGTGGGAGGAAAATGGCTTGCGGATATGAGGTAGGATGCCGGACAGGGGGAGTTTGCAACAGTTCAGCCCGACACCAAATTGCCGATGGTGATGGTGTGCAATAGTTGAAGACCCCGGAGGTGATGGCAACGGCCGTGATTTGGTGGGTGTGGGCGGTGTTGCGGCGGTAGTTGGAAGGTGCCCATGCCGGTCGGGTTGGTTCCAGGAAGGCCGGGGCATTATGATACAGTGGGTATGGAGTGGGGAGTGATGAGACAGCGGTGGGGATTCAACGTTGGTCAGCACAATGTACAGCAATGTCAAGGCAACACCTGCAATATGACACCCAACGTCCCCATGTCATACCCAGGTGAGCCATTTCACAACATACTGAATGTTACGCACCTAATACCACTGAACAACCCCTCTCCGCAGCGTCGAAGTTGCCCGGCGCTCTGATCCACCTTGCCTGCAAGTGAGCAGGTACGGATTTTGGGCGAGATCTAGGTCGCGCAGGGTGGGGGTGCGTTGCGTGGGTTGATCGATAAGATGTTGATTGTTGGATGGTGGTGAAGGGATATGCACAATTACAGATTGTGCAAGTGTGATACTAAGTTGCACAAACGATCGATCGGGTTTTGTGGTTGAGGCAAGTGGAGAGATGGAGGGAAAACGGGAATGAGATAACGTGAGAACAGCGACACTCTCTGATAAGGAAGCGACCCGGTAAACACAATGAAAGGCGAAACGGGAATGGAGGAGGATAACGCCGAAAGTAGAACAGCGGATTCATTCTATGAGCCTGGTTCGGAGTCTCTCCAACGTCTCTAGCTATATATAAGAAACCTAAGGTTGACCCTGAATCAGTAAGGGCTCGCTGGCCGAGCGGTAATGTATGTATTCTTGTAGTCATAGTATATTGTGTAATACATTGTATGTCGGCCTAATGCTCCCACGGTAACTCCAAGGTCCGGTGTTCGAGTCCCAAGTACGACAATGCGATATAATAAATTACTTTTTACCGCAATACAACCCCTAGTGTTGTAATGTATTGAAACCTAATGGGTCACGTTGTAATGTATTTAACCCAATAGGCCATGTTGCAATGGAACCAATGTATTGCAACGCTGTGGGTCACGTTGCAATGTATTGGGCCCCGGCCTCTGCCGTTGCAACGTTTAAGTGTTCGATGCAACCATTGCATCGCCCCATACCCGTTTTGGTCATTGCATCACGTTGCAATGTATTGATGCGGATTTGAACTTTTTCCAACAAAATGCAGCGCAGTCAAGTTCTAATTAACCATTAAAATAGCTTAGGTGAGGAAGGACAATAAGGATTCTAGGCGCAGTCTGACTGCAGTAGAGCTGCAGTTCAGCGCAGCAGAGCACAGTAGTGTCATATCCATACAATCCTGACCTCTGCTCCGGGCTCCCGGAACTCCGAACTCCGACTTCCGGAGCCCTACTTCCCTTCCGTCACCTTCTCCTTGCCGACTCCCAAGAGGTTATCCCACCTCCGGCTCGGACACCACCTTCAGTCCGACTCCGGAACATTCCGGGTCCGACCCCAACCTTGACACCTTCCAGACGAGCATGCAACACCTATGTTCCCGACTCCGGACCTCTGCTCCGGAATCCTGTTTGCGCCTCCGTCTCCGGAACCTCCGGTCTCAGCTCCGACCTCGGACTTTGACCCCACCTCTGCTTATACCCATTGTATTGGTTAGCTCATTCCATTTAATACGTTTGCCAATATTCCGGAGTTTAACCTCCGAGTTCGGACTTTCCGGACTTACTCCGGACCTTGCAACTATTGCATTGTCCATTTCAATTCCGCTATTCTCCCTCATTCCTATTTGGGCTGCTGCTTCCTTCTATTCAGTCAGCTAGCCATTCCTGACTCCCATCCTCCTTCCTTCCTTCTTGGGCCTTGGCCCTTCACTCCTCCTTTGGGAAACACCATTGAGTCAAACACTTGACCCTCGGTGTTGTTCCTCTTTCCATCTCCCTTTGTCTCCTTTCATCTTACCCTTGTTCCTTTTGATTCTGGACCCCTCCTTATATACAATGTACCTAGTAACTTGTAACCTCAGTCCGAAATCGACTTGAATCCCCCCAAGAGACTTTCCCTTTGCTAGATCCGAAATTAGGGACCCCTAGGACAACCAGCAATGGCACAGCGCTCCGCCTGAGTCGCTGAGGCCGAGGTCCTTCCACGCTAAGTCTCCGATTCCATTCCGGAGTCGTCCGAATCCGCATGTTCTAACAAGTAGAACTATAGTGTGAAATTTTCATTTTTTATTCAGTTTGAGGAAAATACACTGTAAATAAATCCTGTAAATACGAGGTAGAGTGTGAAAAAGGAAGGCAACCCAAGGAGTATAAAAGGGAGACCCTTTCTGCGACCTTTCACCCCCCTCAGAGAAGTAAGAAAATAGAGTATTATTTTTCTCAAGCATTTCTGGTTGTCACTCCAGCACGAAAAAGTGATATACAGTTAAGATTGCCACTGTAGTAAAAGGCAGCAATTAAGGAGAGAAATATTAAGTAGATATTTCAACAGGAGAGCTGGTTAACACTCCAGATTTCAAAAGTGTAAACACAAAACAGTTATTTTGCTACTGTTAAAACAAGCAATAAAATAAGACAAAAAAAAAAAAAAACTCAAGGGACACTCCAGACACAATCTAAATCCATTAACTGAGTAGAATCTTTGAAACTTCACCAAGTAGAAGATTTAATTCAAGTTAAAATCCAAATTAAACAACTCTACACAGAATTACACCCAGACAAATTAAGAAATTACAATAGAGGAACAGCTCCACAGGGCTCGGTTTATCTGTAAGTCAATTATCAGAAACTTTTAGACTAGCCCATAAAATAGAATTAGCCAAAACACTTCAACAAATATTACTAGTACTTCCCCATCCTAACTAAAGAACCAGGGAACAGCTTGGTGGTGGTCTCGTTTGAACCTCCCAACTGACCTTCCTTCATTCTCTCCTTCAACATGTAACTAGGCACAGCACTCCTGGTTTAGTTGCTGAGGCTGAAGCTGTCATATCCATCCATGGCCATCGTCTTCCACTACCTCTGACCCTTCTGGACTACCTCCGCTCCACCTTTGGGCCTGTCCCTCCTTTCTGTTTCTGGGTTATCACCTGCCATTCCACTAACCTTGTAACCCGACTTGTCAGTAATATTCAATTGGCTAATGTTTAACTCTGTTAGCTCCACTCCGCTTGGCCCCACCATTCACAGGCCCACCCTCGCTGTAACTATACATATAACTTAAGTGGCACCTAGGTTACACCTCAGTGATAAAATCGACTAGAGTTGATCCCCCTTTAGTTCTTGTTGCCAGTAAGTAAATTAGGGCATGGATGTGTAACTTGGCACAGCACTCCTGGTCTGAGTCGCTGAGGCCGAAGCCCTCTGCCATGGAGACAACTCCTTCGTCTCGATCCAGTCTCTAACAGAAGCCCTCCACCACAGGGATGTCTCCTTTGTCCCATATCCAGTCTCTGACAGAGACAAAATGTCAGGGCATGCCTTTGGGTCGCTAGTGTAAGTAGCGCATTGCCACATGACCCATATCTCCATCAGCTTCTGCTTCTTTTCTTCTTCTTCATCTCCTGTTTGATCCAGTCTGCAGCTGTTACAGTGCTCCAAAAAACCGTTCCAATGTTTTTCACTTTTCACTTCCTGAGCTTATAGTATCATGGCAGTGCATTCTAAAATTCCCCAAAAATCATTTAAGGTGCATTAGTATCCCCTTCACAGATCTACAAATTATGTAAGCAATATATTTATTTTTGGTAAAGTTATTTAATTTATAAGGGACCCATGTCATTGGAATGGTTTTTTGGAGTGCCTTTGGCACATCCTAAAAATAAAAATATCACATGTCATGCCACATGATATTGTTTACTGTACACACTAATAAACAAAATAACGTTGCTGGAGCATAAATACCCAACATTCTTGCAGCATAATGCCCCCAAAATCCAAATGCATCCCTTGTCTGCTTCAAAATTTGCTGAAGTCCTTTCCCTTTGATCCAATACTACCAGTTACTACAGTCATTCACATGCCAATGGTTCACACCCCTCAATGGTTCATTTTCATGTAACATCCTTATTTCACCCCGGGATTTTGTTATTTTTTGCACACTTGTATATTATAACTATGGCTATGACTATGCAAAAATTTGACCAAATCGGACATAAAATGAAGGAGTGATAGCAGTTGTTCAACGAGTTAACAGTGCACACAAAAGTTATGCATTTTGCACTCTCCAGGAACATGGCTATGACATCGCAGTGTGTCCTACAGCTTGGTGTGTTACCAAGGAACAGAAGGCTGCTGGCACATGTGTGCATGTTTGTTTGTTGTGGTGAACGAGCACTTGTCAGACTTGGGTATACTTACATCCGAGTTTCCAAATTCAGTACCTCAAATTTATTCCTTTCTGTGCCTGCTGCTTTCACCAGAATCAGTAATGGCCCACTCCCTGACAATTCACAAGCAAAGCAGCTCAAGCAGTAGAGCAAATATTCTGCA